CACAAAATTTATTGATTTTTTTTAGGTATCCGGAATTCAATCCTTTTCATAGCTAAATAAATTCCATGGCAGGAATGTATCATAATTTTTTTACTCATTATTCCGCTCATAGACATTTGGGCTTCTTCAGTTTGGGTATGTAAGAAATGTAGCTACTATGAACAATCTTGTATAATTCTTGTATATGTGGCTATAGTACTAACTATGTTGTTCTTTTTCACATTTTTTTGGCTAGTCTAGAGTTTTAGCATTTCTTGTGTTTGTTTTTGTTTTTAAATATTTACTTATTTTTTTGTATACAAGGGTGCAGGACAGAGGTGTAGGGGGTAAGAGGAGTCCCCAGAGACAGAGTGGGAAACCAAACAGGTGGATTTTCTGAAGCACACTGCTGAGGGGAGCAGCGGTGAGATAGGGGAGGTCTGGCATGCCATGTGGGTTACCACTCTAGCTAGGGATCTAACTCATACAGCAGTAGCTGATGATAGCACATACTACTGAGACTTAACCCCTTGCTCCACCAGGGAGACTCTAGAGTTTTAGCACTTCTATGTAAAGTTTTGAAACAACTTGTCAAGGATATTGTAAGAATATTGATTGGAATTACCTGAAATAATCTCTACATTAGTTTGGGGAGTATCTTAACTTAGGGCCTCTATTAAACAAACTGAGACAAGGGATTATCTGTAGAAGATTTTCTGGGAAATGCTTTAACTACACTCATGAGTTGGTGGGGGAGCTGACATGAGTAGTGGTTGTGATGGAATTCTCAGCCAGTTCCACAGTGAGCTCTGACACTCTATGACCTTCAGAGTTGCCTTTTTATAGCCGCATCACCACACAGACCACCAATGAATGCAGGCTTCTCTGAGGAGGAGGTTCAACACAGGGTCAGGCAACTCTCTGCCTGAGGACAGTAAGAGGGACTCGCATGGGAAAAAACAGCAGCCAACATCTGCAGCAGTTGGGGAATTAGCAGCTGCTGGCCAGAACACACTGCATCCACCACTGGGAAAGGAGACTTCTAGCAAAGTGGCTTTTCCAAACATTAACATGTGATCTATTTCCACTTTAAATAAACCTTCCTTATTTTTAGTCTATTCATTCAATATGACAGATAACTTTTCTCTCAAAATAAAATTTTGAAAGATGGCATCATATGTATGTTGCCATCAAGACATCCACAGTGGCATGTTCTAGTCCTTGCTCTTTAATGCCCTCTTTTTTACAGTGCGCTTCAACTCGCCTTTCCGTCCATACTCTATTTGACTCTCGGCAGCTCCTGGAGGCTCTCTCTCTGCACGATCTATCAATGTTTGGTTAATCACTGCCCTCACCTGCTCATCTTTGTTTCTTGTGGACCACACTCTTCCACTTCCCAAAATCTAGTGACCCCTCCCTACTGGGGCAGCTAAGCTCACAGAATGCTACAGCACCCATTACCCCACCTACACGTCTTTAAACGGCATATTTGTATGGCAACTTCTGGGTTGAATTTTTTGGTTTTTAAGCACTATCTATTGATTCTCAACTATAGAAAATGAGCATTTACCCCTCTTTTCTTACTCTGTTCCTACCACACTTCTTTGACTCTTTCAAACATTAACACGACTATAGATTTTGTCATATCTTTGACTACAGTGATAATTTTAGAGCGATATTAAGTATTTACATTCAAATGTGTTAAGTTTTTTTGTTTCCCTATCGTTAAATTTTTTGGTTTTCAAAAACTTTTGCTTTGTCTCTATTTTAATACTTTCTCTCACACTCTTTTCCAATGATCAAAATCTTTTCACAAGTTATTACTTTATTTATCAGATATAAAATTCAATCAATTTCTCCTTTCTGAAGATGTTTCTGCCTGGAGGGCTGATGGGCTTCGTTCTGAGCAGGTTCCCTGTATAATTTCAGTCATCCTCGAGATTTTCTTACCATCTTCTTCCACATTGTATCTCCTTTTTTCCAGAGACCAGGTGTTCCTTTACTTGGCTAAAGCAATTGTTTTGGTGGAACACATTTTTCAATTAGCTTCCTCTGAAAGAAGCTATCTGAAAATGTCTATTCTGTTCTTCTACTTAATTGATGGTTTGGTTTGGTATAGAAATCTAGTTTGAAAATATTTTTTCTTCAGAAATTTAAGGGCATTGTCCCTTTGTCTCTTGATTCATGTTATTGCTGAGAAACCTAAAGATATTCTCATCTTGATCCTTTGTAAGTAGTCAGTTTCTTTTCTCTTTTTTCCCAAAAGCTAATTAAATCTATTCTTTTTCTTTTGTGTTCTGAAATTTTACAGTACATCCATTCACTGGTCCCTTTCAATCATGTCTTTCTGGTTGGGGTAAACATTTCCATTTATTACATGGCTGACTTCCTTTTCTGTATTTTCTTTTGGAAACTCCTGTTTCTAGATACCTTTGAGGACTGACCATAGATTTCCTTCTGTCTTTTCACCCCTTTTTCTCATCTTAGTTATTTTTCTATCATCTAAAATTTGCTCAAAGTTACCCTCGAGTACTTCTAGTGAGTTTTTAATGTTTACGATCATGTTTTTAATTTTAAAAAATCATTTTTTCTGAATTTCACTTGCCCTTAAAAAATCTTATTTCATAAATGCAAGTTCTTTTAGTTCTTCAAGGTTATTACCCATAGCTGTCTTTTTGTTTAAAAATTTCTTTTCCATGCATATTTTCAATTTCTTCCAATTTGTTTTGTTCTTCACCCAATTCCAGCATCCCTAATTAGGGAGGGGTAAAAAAGCTCACACAGGGAAGGATTTTCCCCGCAGTTCCAGCAGAGGGCCTTCATGTTTCATGTGTTTCAAGAGGAAAGACAAGTTTACTTCTACAACTTGAATCAATTAGCCTAGTGCATAGGACATAGAAGACTTTTGGTAAACATACAATGAATGAATATGTTAGTGAGTAAAATTTTTTACTTTTTAATCTCCCCCCTTCCTTCAGCCTTTATAATATGAATAAAGAATTTGAGATATTCATTTCAATTTAAGTAGGCTGTTTCCCCAGTACCATTTGGAATAGATACCCTAGTTTAAAGTAGGAACACTGACAGTGTCCCTTGATATACTGAAGGACAACAGTTTGGCTGACTCTGCAATTCTGGGCCCCGGCTGATAAGGAGACCGTCCTTGGCTCCAGCTGGGCCTGGCCATCTTTCCCTGCCATATATGGCCATGGGCTTAGTCCGTCCTGCTTATTGTATCTTTTCTTTTCGGACACTCTTCCACGACCCCTCCTGCCTCTCTCTCCGCCTGACCGTGATCCGGCCATGGGCACTCGACATGATACCTTTAATGTAAATATAAGTTCAGCTCTGAAATAAAATAGGACTTCTTCTTCCTTCTGGTGAACAGACTCACGGCGTCCGTCTTTCCTTCTGCCTTTTCCTTTCATATACCACCCTTAAATTTGAGGGACTTAAGCATTTCTATTAGCCTATTTTCTATGCTGCTTATTTACATATGTCTGCTAGCAAGTAGAATGATGTCTGTTACATATATATATGAGAGTTCTCTGGAAAACTGCAGCAGCTGTGAAGACTGATTTCCGTGCTGGCACTGTAAGCACCCCAGTATTAGTAGTGCACAGAGGCACAGAACACAGAATTAGGAGAGAATATTCAGACGCTAGCACACCCCGTTCCTTCTTTTATTGCTTGCCTTGCCTTGCTCAGTACTCCTTAAAACAAAAATTAGAATCTCAAATTCAATGCTCACCTGCCAAAGTAAAACTAATAGCAAAGCACAGACTGAGAGCTCAAATAAATAGCTAAAAAACAAACAAAAAAATCAACCCTTTTATTCATTTGCTATACTCTGCCAGGTACTAAGTGGTAAATTTTCTCTGAAGTACCCTGTGAGGTACTTATTATCCCCATTTTATACATGAGGAAATCCAGGCTCAAAGAGAATGAAAAACTTTATGAGGATAACAGCAGTAGCAAGTAGCAAACCCTCCAGTTATCCCAGATCTAGGATTTTATTTTTAAATTCCATATCGGACACACAGAGTGTGTAAATGGTGGAAAAATGGAATACCCAGTTATAGAACATCATTATCACCCCAGAGCCTTTAGGAATTGGAGTTAGATGAGGGTCCTGATGGGATTAGCATCCTTATAAAAAGGGGCATCAAAGGGCTCCCCCCCTCCCACTTCATTCAGCACACCCCAGGAAAAGGCCAAATAAGGACTCCTGAGAAAGCAGCTGCCTTTAAGCCAGAAAGAGCACTCACCAGGAGCTGAATCAGCTGCATCTTGGCTTTGAACTTCCCAGCTCCCCTAACTGTAAGAAAACAAATTTCTGTAGCCTAAGCAATCCAGCTCATGGTATTTTGCTATGACAGCCGAGCAGATTAAGATGTTTGTTTATCCCCAAACCCTATCTTCTCCCAAATTTAAGAGTAAAAATTTCCTTGCTTTTCTTTAGAGTCGACTTTTTGTGTTTACCTTTGTTTTTGAACGTTAAAATTCAGTACCGGGAGGAATACTGAGGGATGGAAAGTTTTTAAAACATGGTCCAGCAGACAGATCATAGTGTGAGTGTGTATGTGTTCAAGAAAAGCTTTATGAAATAAGCAAAGGTAGAATTGGACCCTGGGAAATAAGCATTATTTGGGCGTGTGGCAGGTGGCCCAGTCTAAGTAGAAAGAACTACGTGAGCCCTGGTGCATCTTAGGGAGCCGGGGCAGGCATTCCGGTTGGCGACCAAGATGAGAAAGGCAAGTTGTGCCCAGAAGCTTTGAATGTCAAATAAGGTAAAGAAGTATTATTTTCAGTTATCTCACAGTGCCAAAGTTTTATCAAAGCAAAGTAATTTGAAATCTCTGGAATGAAGGGGAGACTTATGCATCATTTTCTTAATTAATGAGGAACTTTTTCTCAAGAAAATTTTCTTATCTTTTAAAACTCCTCTCAGAAATACCACCTTGGGTGCTTAGGATAAAGAACACCATGTATAAGGTAACAAACACAGACTGCAAGTCAAAATAATACTTTATTCTGTATTCAGCTAACAACACCAATCTGAAATAATGTTCATTTTCAGTTTGTGTAGCCAGGGGACTTGCCAGAAGTCTTTCTTACCCCTTTTTGAAGTTAAAATACCTCTACAGCTTTCCTTTCTTTCCTCAAAGTCAGGAGGTATGACTACTATGAAAAGAAGCAGATGATCCAGAAAAGCAATTGGCAAGTAAATCACAGCAGAAGATGTCACATCGAAGGTTCCCGTGAGAACAGCGGGCAACACAGACACATGGCTAAACGCAAGCATGGTCTTCAGCAACAGCCCAGTAAAGGCAAACAAAACAAAAATGAAAACAAACAAAACAAAACCCAATCTGGAACGTGGCAGCCTCACTAGGCGTAAGTGTGCTTCATAGGAGGACACAGTGACGCAAGGGGGGGGACAGGATGACGCACGCAGGTGGACTGTAGTGACCGTAGCCCCCAGTAGGAACCCAGCTTAGAAATGGCAGCATTTTTCTGAGATTTTCTGTGTGTTTCTATCCTTCAGGTTCTACTTGCATGGCAGGAGCCTGGCGGAGGCCACTGTCCATGGTCAAAAGAATCTTCTCGCCTAGACACTATATTGTGCCAATGCAAGGGAGTTCAGCATGGATGGAAGTGTTAATGTTGCTTACTTAGAGACCAGCACAAGGATATGAGCAGGTGACTGGGTCAAAGGCTCTAGGAGTGTCTATCAGTTTCCAGGCTCACCAAGAGGAATACTGAGGGATGAAAAGTGCAAACTGAGTCCTGAGGTCAATTCTTCAACATTAAACTGTCATATTTTCAGCTTCTCTTCCCCATGGCCACTTGGAATAAAAAACCTGAACTTGAGGTCTCTCCTCTGTTCCCCAATAGGTCAGCAAGTGGGTGGGGTTCCTGGAGGAGCAAAGTGCTCAGGGCAGCTAAGGACTCCCCAAAAGGAGCTTTGGCATCCTTATCTTAGAGGCACATGACCTGGGTATTTAACTTTAGCTGCAATTCCTGAAGATGTTTCACTTGCGTTGCCTGCTAGAACTCAGGCTGGGTCTCCTTCGGGCTACAGTGCACCTCCTCAAAGCTCACGCAGAATTCGTGGGGCTGTTGAAGGCAACCTGAGAGCTGCTCAGCTTCCTGGCTGATACATAAAGGTACACGAAAAACAACAGACACATAAAGGCCATCGTTGCAAAGAAGACCATGATGCCTACAAAAATATGCTGCGGCAGGGCCATGTGGATCAGGGGGCACGTGGCTGGGATCTGGTTGGTCAGGTTGAGCATGTAGCCGAGAGACCAGGCGATGCTGCTGTCTGCCACCTGTGAAGTAGAGGAGATGGCTCAGTTCCCAGGCCAGGGCTGCAGGCTGGAATTTTATCCCTGGGCACACCACTGTCACCCCTCATGAAAGACCCGGGGGAAACTTGCCCAAGTTCAGACACTGCAGGGCCTGGGTTACAGCCCAGGTCGCTGTGACCACAGAGGCTTGTGGCTTGACCACAGCACTGCAGAGGGAACAGAGGAACTCCTCCCAGCACCCTCATAGCCAGGTGTGAAGAAGGCACAGTTAACAGTAAAAGTACTCTGTTGCGACTGGTTGACTGAATCAGGACCAGTTTTAAAAGCAGTGTGCCAATGGGAGACAAGCTTCATCCGTGTCTTCTGGTCATCCATGAATTTCTCTTTACATATTTTGAGGCTGTTTTATTTCATGTGTAAAAGTTTCAAATTTGCAGTTTTCAGTCTGAATTTGATTTTCAGTCATGATGTAATCTTCTCTAGTGCAAATGATGCTTTTTATCATAAAGACTGTTTTGCCAGAGACTAAATAGCCTTTATTTAAATACCCAGTCTTCTTTCGGGTAGTATATGTCGAGGAATTGCAAGTTCTTACACCTATAGTATGTGTCACTCATAAGCCACAAAAACTTGACTTATGAAAATCCAATCTGACAATGCCTTTTTTAAAAAAAAAAAACAACTTGGAAGTTTAGTCCATTTATGATATATTTAGGCTTTTCCTAATGTCTTACTAAAATTACGGCTATTTACTTATATTTTTTTCCTTTCTTGACTTAAAAATTATATCTGGGCCCTCCCTGGTGGCGCAGCGGGTTAAAGCACAGCACTGAGAATCTAAAAGCCGCTTCCACATGAATTCGATTCCCGCTTGCCCCGGAGGTGACCACATGGCGTGGCAGACCTCTCCTGACCCGCCCGCTGCTCCCCTCAGCAGTGTACTTCGTCGATCTGCCTGTTCTGCTCCCTGCTCTGTCTCTGGTGAATCCTCTCACCCTCCGCATCTCTGGCCTGTACCCCAGTTCTGTATGAGTAAATAAATAAATCTTTAAAAAAAAAAAAATTATATCTGTCTGTCCCCTTTAAAAGCCGAGGATTTTAGAGTACTCTTATGTCCCGAAAGGAATCCTGTGATTCCTTCTCCATCTCTATCATACTGGATAGTAGCTATGTTGAACACTGGATCATTATGGATGGATTTTTCTCTTGCATTTCTTTTTTTTTTTTTTTAAAGATTTATTTATTTATTCATATGGAACTGGGGTACAGGCCAGAGATGTGGAGGGTGAGAGGATTCACCAGAGACAGAGAGAGGAGCAGAACAGGCAGATCGACGAAGTACACTGCTGAGGGGAGCAGCGGGCGGGTCAGGAGAGGTCTGCCACGCCATGTGGTCACCTCCGGGGCAGGCGGGAATCGAACTCATGCGGAAGTGGCTTTAGCTTCTCAGTGCTGTGCTTTAACCTGCTGCGCCACCAGGGAGGGCCTGCATTTCTTTTTTTTATATGAATTTTTTTTTTTTCATACCGAGCTGGGGTACAGGCCAGAGGTGCAGTAGTGGCAAGAGGATTCACCAGAAACAGAGCGGGGAGCAGACAAGCAGATCGACAAAGTACACTGCTGAGGGGAGCAGCAGGTGAGACAGGAGAGGTCTGCTGTACCACGAGGGTCACCTTCGGGGTGGGGATCGAACTGGCACGGATGCAGCCAAGGCTTGGCTTGGCTTCCCAGCACAGTGCTCCAACCCACTGTGCCACCAGGGAGGGCCCTGAATTTTAAGTGACAATATTATCTATTCTCACTTACTATATTTTATAATAGCTCCTGGATTTATTTCTCTTCTTGGTTAGTTCCATCCTCCAGAAAAGCTTTCCATGTAATTTTTTGAGGGGCAAATCGTCTGAAGTCTTCGTATGCTCTTATATTTGAATACTAATTCGGCTGGATAAAAATTCTTTATGAATAAAGGGAAGGAACTTGAAACCTAGAATTTTATATCTTTCCAAATTGGTACCTAATGGAAAGTACTTCTCCAAACTCATTATGTACTTTCAGGCTGATTAGATTCATTAGAAGCAAAGCTTAGCGCATACATGTTACCAACTGACCTTATGTCTCGAGACATCTATTTTCTGTACATGACTCTATTTTCTGTAGGTGAAAGTATACCATCACAGATATACACAATATTGTATGGGTTTAATCTTATTATTGCCAAAGCTATTATTGAACAGACTGACTCCAGAGAGATTTCAGGCTTTAATCAGCTTTTCCTGAAATGTGAAAACTCACCCAGCACCTGGGGGCATGGTGCTGGATGAACATTTCAGCAAGGTCAAGTCCTGCTGAAAACAAGGTCTAGAAGGTGACTGAGACGAAAGAATCTCCTTGTGGCAGTGCCCCGGTGACTCTAACTTCAGATCATTTGGACACTTGACAGTAATTACAGTGCCCTGAGGCCATTCCAAGAGAAAATTTTCGTTTAATGTTGCTGGAAGTCCCCTGTGCTCTAAAGTCAGTGCATCTGACTT